TTTTAGATATCAATGTTTATTTGAAAACTAAATTTACTTAAATAAATAAAAAATTAAATTATAAATAATTTTTTAAATATATTTTGATATATATACATAATTGAGGTTGGGGTGGGGAGGGGACCTCAATCCCCATCCCTAACGCCAACCCAAATCAGGGATTCCTATTAATCCCCATCCCCGTTCCCTTCCAGCCAAAACAATCTCCATCCTCGACCCCATCGGGTCATGGAAGTTGGGTCCCCATCGAGGATGGGGAAAATTATCATCCCTACTGATGATGGGTGTTAAGGTCCCGAAGACAAGAGCTTACCATCCCAAGAGCCTGAGAGAGTGAACTGATCGTCCAAGGAGTGCACGACATCCAACATGAAGTGAGAATGACAGGTGAAATAGGGAGGAAATGGAGAAAAAACTAGTTCAGTTTCAAGGTAGAAGACAATGAACGATGCCTTCTTTCAAGGTACAATACAATGAATGTTGTCTTCTTTTGGAGGGTAGTTTTGACATCTTTAAAAGTTTTAAGTGGCACATGTCATCATGCGACAACTGATGGAGTGTTAATGGTAGGGACCTATTAGATACATTCTGAAAGTTCGAGTACTGCATAGACTTGTTTTGGACCTCGGGGACTAACTTTGAAGTCAAATTCACACTCAAATCTATAACTAGTTTCGGATTCATAACTGGATTCTCACTTGGATTTATACCTATATTATGGGATTCTCAAAACACTTATAACTCCCTTCTACATAAATGCTAGCAAAGTGCACCTCTAAAGTGCCCCATTGCATCGTAGATACACATGTATTATGAATTGTACAATAATATGTCTCTATGCTTTATCATTTCTATACTTCTAATTGTAAGCAAATTCATATTAAAAAGCTCAAGAGAATTCTTGTAATTTTCCAATGTGGGATAAGGTACAAAAAAGAGAAAACATAAGACAAAACAAGAGTTTTAGTGGAAAATTTCATATTAAAATTGCTTAAATGGCATGGTTTCCCTATAGTTCACAAGTGATGTAATTAAACAACCTTCCATTAGGTTAAAGTGGAAAATGACAGTTTTGACCTAGGATGTGTTTGGACCAATATATTCTACAAGAAAATGGAAATGTCACTCTTGCCCCTAGTAAAACATGGGCAACAACTCTTTTCGATCAATTTTATTCTCTATTTAAAGAAGGAAGACATGTTGCTGCAAATTAACTAATAACCTGGTATGCAATGTTCCCCCTTTTAATTTTATAGAAACCATTGTGGTAGATCTAAAAATCAAACAATGGTTCATTTTAAAGGATCAATATGATGTATTAGGGGTAATTTCAGAATAAAATGGCATAGGCCCATGCCCTTGAACACCTAGTATAGGTGGTCAAGTTACCAATTTCAGACAACAATATAAAAGATTCTTGATAGAAGGTTGATTAAGTAATTTAGTTGCAAATTATAAGGGGAGTTTTAGTAAAATATATACTATAAGGTAGGTTTTAGTAAATCCGTGAAACTATAGGAAGTGTTTTAGTAAATGACCCATTTATTTTTTTTAATTCATTCCATGCCCTTTTCTTTCACTCTTTTTTTTTTCCAACCCTCTCAGTCTCTCCTTCCTCTCCAAGCCCTCTTCATCTCCAGAGGCCACCTCAACCAGTTCAGCACAATTTTTTATATGCAGGATGTTGAGCCTGTGATTAAAAATATCATTGGATTGGAAGCTAGGAATGCATCCTGCATAAGGAGATCAAGACTATCGAGTCCTTCTTCCCAATATCTAAATGTATCAGGCACTCAATCTTGTATGCTCAATCTCATAGGAAATACATAAGACTATTGAATTTGTTCTTAGTATGAAAAGACACAAAATCTATTATTGATATGAAAAGCCTGGAGGACAAACTGACCCTACATCTTAAGTTTTCTCAAAGCAGAGGGCTGGTTTATACTTTCCAACGTTCCCAGTCAGATCGCATCTATGGCTGAAATCACAGCAAGGGTAAAGGAAAACAAGGAACTGCAGTCGTGCATATAAGGTCGAAAAAGAGAGAGGGGGAACACAACGTTTTTGAACCGCCTTAACCCGGATGGCCGGACCGTTCGGCCCAAGAATCGTCAAGGCAATTGGTTACATTTTATCCTAAACCTAGAATTTGGTCAAAAACCACTGAAAAAGTCAATAAACCATTGACCCAGGCAGTAGACCCATCGACCCGTTCAACCGTTGACCCATGCCACATATGTAAATGACAAGTGGCATTTAGTTATGAGATCTACAACTGAGTCCAGTAGTCCACTGCATTAAGACTACAGCAGATCCGGTCACTATACCGGTCAAAGCACTCCTTGAATCTTCCCTCCCAATTCCCAAAGGACTGAAATTCAGAATAGGCGGCGTACCAATGCCATTACGAAGAAATCCTTCGTCTTATCCAGTTATCCTCGCTAGCTATTCCGCGGTTATTTTATGTGCAGAAGAGAAAGTGAGACGTATCAAAATTAAAAAATGAAAGACGCCGTAGTGCTGTACCCGGCCCCTGCCGTCGGTCAGATCAGGCGTATGATACAGTTGAAAAACAATATTCTCCGCCGCTTCAGTCATCTCTTCTCGGTCACCATACTCATCCCGAGCGGACCTTTGGATACAGCGGCGACTGCCTCCTACATCCGTGATATCTCTCCTTCCACCTTCTCCCTCCCCTCTCCCCACCACTCGACCCATCTCTTTTCCCCAACCCCATAGCCGCTTCCTTAGAATTCAGTCGCCTGAACTGTCCTAACGTCCTCCACGCTCTGCAAACCATATCAAACTCCACCCCCGTTCGTGCCTTGATCACTTCCGACCCATACGGCGCCTTCCACCCCAACATCCCCACTTATTATTACTTCTCCTCTGGTGCCGCTTCTCTCGCTGCCATCGTCCATTTACCCACCCTTCACAACCAATGGACCACGGGCTTCAAAGACCTTCCATTCTCTCTTGTCAGTATCCCCGGATTGCCGCCTATCCCTGCTTCTCACATGCCAGAACCGATACTAGACCGTGAAGACCCGGCCTATCATGGCTTCTTATGCTTCGCTGCTAATCTCGCTAGATCTCAGGGAATTATCGTCAACACGTTCGACTCACTTGAGCCGAGAGCGATCAAGGCCATTACAGATGGATTCTGCATACCCGATTCCAAGACTCCACTTCTTTACAACATTGGACCATTCATAGACAAATCCTTCGACCGAACAGGTGGTGAGGCAGAGTGCTTTTCTTGGCTCGACGCCCAACCAAATCAAAGCGTGGTATTCTTAAGTTTCGGAAGCCAGGATACCTTCTCGGCTTTACAAGTGAGGGAGATCGCTACTGGGTTAGATAATAGCGGCCAGAGGTTCTTGTGGGTTGTGCGTAGTCCGCCACCCAAGCAAGAACACAGGAATAACAAGAGGCTCGCAGCTCTAACGGACCCGGATTTAGATGCTCTACTTCCAGAAGGATTCTTGGCTCGGACTAGAAACCGTGGTCTAGTAGTGAAATCGTGGGCACCTCAAGAGGCTGTGTTGAATCGGGAATCGGTTGGCGGGTTCGTGACGCAGTGCGGGTGGAACTCGATTTTGGAAGCAGTGTGTGCAGGGGTACCCATGGTGGCGTGGCCTCTCTGCGCTGAGCAGCATATGAACAGGGCGGTGTTAGTGGAGGATATGAAGCTGGCGATGCCGGTGGAGCAAGCGGAGGACGGTTTTGTGAGTTCAGTTGAGGTAGAGATGCGAGTAAGAGCGTTGATGGAATCCGAAGAGGGAAGGGCTCTGCGAGAGCGGAGCCAGATGATGAGAGAGAACGCCAAGGCCGTGCATGGCCAGGGAGGGTCGTCGCGGATTGCCTTCTACAAATTGACTGAATCGTGGAGGAGATGATATGGCTGCTGGCAACAACTCAAACGTGTCGGTGGGTGGGTCCTTTCTGCAAAGAATTCCAATCCATTGGATCGTGGAAGCTCCCCAAACTTCTTATCAATGATCAGATAAAAATACGATAATGTAAGGGCGTGCAAGGTACTTATGCAAGTAAAAATACACTAATCATTTGAGTATTAAACTATAGCAATGTATTATATTTAGTGTGCAATAATACCATTATTTAAGTGGTAGAAGAGATTTGTGGAGTGGTTTTACAAGTCACATGGTAATTAACTAATGATCATCACGTAAAATCATACCAAGACTTCATTTCATGGGGTCGATGAATCCGCATAGAACTCTCAGTTGGCAATGTTGAAAGACCATATCATTTCTCATCAGCCAAGTACACCAGTGTCACGGGGCTAATCGAGGAGGCCCTGTGGCACTTAATGTGTGTCGATTAAGCTTTTAAGACAAGTAACAAAACAAGAAAAGACAATAAGATGGCACATAAATTAGTCAAAAGGTATTTTGTATTGCATTAAACAATGGTAAGTATAAGCACACAAGTTTGTATCGAGGGGATCTTGTATTTAATCTTTATATGATATTTGCACTATTCAACCACCTACATCCCCTCAAAGAGTAAGTTAAGCTTTGGAGGAGTGACAAAATGATACATCAAAGTATTGAAAAACCATACTGATAATTACAATTATGCCATTGGCATTCTCCCTATACAAAACACATGCATAGCCCCACCCAAGACACACTTGTTAGCGCTCTGATGGCATGGTGCGGGCATAGTGATGGCACTTGATGGTGCGGCGAAATGTTCACTTGTGACAGTCTCCCCCACTCAATTTAGTATTCGCCCTCCAAGATTGGCTTTTTATTGGATGCTTGGATTTGTTGTTGCTGAAGGAGGATTCTTCAACTGCTCCATGACTTGGTCTTTTCCAAGGCCCGTGCATAAGGTTGGGTTGAAGGCTAAAAGGTGCTGTTTGTGGTGGGGAATCTTATGGCTATGTATTTGGTTAATTCCTTTCTTGGCCGCATCAAGGTAGGACATTGGGTTGTTCGGTTTTGTTGAAGGGAAAGTTGGGGCAAGGTTCAGGTCAAAATGTGGTTTTGGTTTGCTGGGGTGTTGGTTCCCATCAAGGTTCAAAGTATCGGAAACACCAAGTGTATCAGAAAGACAATTTTAAGAGATGTATCAGGATATGCTTTGGATACACATGCGTATTAGAGAAAAATTAAGATACACATAAATACATATGGAAACACTATAAATACTTCAATAAATCATAAAAATACAACAATAACACTAAATATAAGACCTCAAATAACACTAAATATAAAAATACATTAAATATATATATTTTAATGGTTTTATGAAGAAATATATTACAGTTAATTATAATTTCATTAAAAAACCTATGCTTAAGTATAATCTATAAATTATAATTCTTAAGTTTTATGGGATGGGAAAAACCCAACTCTCCTATCCAACCATAACACATGCATTGGCACAATTTGTAAGTGAAAATATAATTAATAATTATTATTTACTTTTTATTTTGAAAAATTATAAAAAATAAAAAATAAAAAAATAAATATTATACAATATAATCAAAAGATAGTTATTAAAGAAGAAATTTCAATTTCTTTATGGATATGGTAGATCATCCATAGAATTATAATATATTCAATAATTGTGATAAAATGATAAAATATAATTAATTATTATTTATTTTAATTATAAAAATAAAAAAAAATAATTATTAAAGAAGAAGTTTCAATTGCTCTGTGGATATGATAGATCATCCATAGAATTATAATATATTCAATCATTGTGATCAAATGATAAAATATAATTAATTGTTTTTATTTTTTAATTCTAAAAATATAAAAAATAAAAAATAAAAAATAATGAAAGAAAATTTCAATTGATCTATGGATATGATAGATAAATCCATAGATCTAAAACATATTAAGTATTTATAGATAGAGAAAAAATTACATTTTCAATTTTTTTGTTAATTTATATTTTCCCCAAATATCTTCATGAAATTTCCATACATCTACTCATAACACAAAAAAAAAATTGTGATTTTGAATGTAAGAAATGTATATCAACATAGATTTAAACATTCAAGAAAAAAAGAAATCACAATATTTATAAAAAGTTAAAAAAAACTTACCTATTTTTGCCATTTTTTTTCAAAATTTGAAAAAAACTTCAAAAAAAAAAAACAAAAAACAAAAACGTTTATTTCTTGCAAATTTGTGCATATTTAGCACTCTAAGAATGAGATTTGGAGTTTTAGAGTCATTTGGGGCTGAATGAAGGCTTATTTCATGGGAAAGAAGATTGCTTTCCCCCTTTATTTTTTTTCCAGTTTTTTGTTGTATCTATTTCATAGCATATCGGTCGATACGCCCGATACACCCTTAATACACCCTTTTTATGGCCCGATATGATATGATACAGGTCTAATACAGTGAAAAAAAGATGATATCGCCGATTTTCCATCGTATCTTGTATCAGACCTTTAAAGATACGATACGATACGCCTCGTATTGGACGTATCGTATCGGAATTTGAAACCTTGCTTCCCATAATGATTTTTCTCCCAAGGAAGGGTCCTCACAATGTTCCTTTAAGGGTAGCTTGAGTAATATGGTGGAAAGGGTACCTAGGTGGAAGGTGGTTGTAGTTGGAGACGGCCTTGGGTCTTCTAGGAGTCTTCTGTATCAGAGGCTTGCTGTGCTAGTGTCGATGATGATGCTAGTGTTGGTGTCATTGATGATGTTGGTGTTGATGTTGGTGCTGGTGCGGGAACGACTTTGGTGGATATTGCTTCCTTGTGATGACTTCCCAACCCGTTCAGGTATTGATGCTTATTGTTGACGTGTGGGGTTCTTCTCGGTTGCTGACTTGGCAATGGCTCTGTGGGTGTTTGCTTCTTGGTACAATTGCAAGGCGCACAGTTGCTTCCCGTGTACCTTGAGAGCTGTTGTCACTAGGATCATGCATGGGGAATGCTCGTCCAAGATGAGTAAGTTGTTGATGTGCGGTATGAGGGCTGCTTCTGCTTATATCAAAAATTCCATTCCAAGGACAACTTGAAAATCACCCAAGGGAACCATGGATAGGTTGATGTTGCCCTTCCATGGTTTCACTTGCAGTTCTACTCCACGAACCATGCCTTCTACAGCCTTGATCCACCCTATTTGTTTAGTGGTGGTCAAGTCGAGTTGGTGTGCCTCAACGAGTGAAATAAAGTTGTGGGTGGTCCCACCAAGGCTTGAGTCGGCCTCCTGCCGAGGGTGATGTCTACATATTTTAGCCCCTTGTGGGCTTTATTAGGCCGTTTAGATGCGGCCTCTTTCTTAACTATGGCATTTATGAGTTGGAGGGTACCTACTCTTGGCTCCGGTGTGGGTTTCTCCTCATCACTCTCCTCATTATCATTGAGTTTGACAATGAGGACATTGACCTTCTTCTGCATGGGACATTCACTTGCCCAATTCATTTCATTGCAAATGAAGCAAGGTGCAAGAGGTGTGGTAGGTCTCCTTGTGTACTTGTAGCCTTGGGAGTTATTAGCTTCTTGTGGCTTCTTTCCTTGTTGCTAATAGACTGGCTTGTTGGGGTATGGCTGCTTTTTTTTAGTTGAAGTTGACTGTGGTTCTCCCCACTCAAGCTTGCGGTACGTAGACTAGGTGGCCGGTGGTCCGCTTCATCGGGCTTCTTCAAATCAACAAGTTGTTTAGGCATGACCATGGTAGTTGCTAGGCCTTTCACCCCTTGCCATTGTAGCTCAAACTCGACCCATGGTTTGGGACCATCCCTGAAGTTGAACAAGAGGTCATTGTCTGACATGTCGGAGATCTCAAGTGTTAAGGCTAAGAATTATTGGACATAGTTGTGTAGCGAGTCCTCGTGCTTCAAGTTCTTCATTTTCCTCCGTGCAAGGTACTCAACATTCTTGGGGTAAAATTGGCGCTTGATCTGTCGCTTGAAATTGGCCCATTTATTGATGGTGTGTGTGCCACAGTCAATGACTTGAAAACACCTATGCCACCATAACATTATAATATCATTTAAATATATTGAAGCCATATGTACTGGTGCGCTTGGGATGCGTCGTCAAACACCCGTGGCACCAGTTTAGAGATTTGTAAATTTTTTCAATTCTCACGTAACATTGAACAACGTAGTATGTGGTGAGGAAGGGGTCAAACCCACAGGGAAGCAAGAATAAAAATTATTATTTTTGTTCTAGACAAATAAAAGGAAAATAGATCTGGGATTTGCAAAAAATAAGAACATAAAATTTATTAATGATCCAAAATTCGGATACAGTGGCGGTAGCTGTTTGAGAAGACGAAATACACGCTTTCTCCCTCCGTTTAGCCCTCGAACCCCTCGAGACACCTTAGCCTTGAACCGAACGAATTCAGATTTGTAAAACACACAAACAAACAGAAATTAAATCTAAAAAGATTGTCAGAATAAAAATAACATAAAAGAAAATAAAGATAATGAAAGGGTTGGCTGATCAAATCCAGTGGCGGTAGTTGCAGATTGGCTAGACTGCTTGCAGGAACCCCTCATAACAAGATCTGGGTGTCCTTCCCTTCTACAACCCTCGAACTCCTCAAGAAACCTTAGCCTTGTGAACTGGGTTTATTGACCAACCCCTTCTTCAGGGCCCTTGGGGTCCTTTTTATAGAGAAGGGTGGACAAAACTGCGATTAGAGAGAAAGAGAGGGGCGGCTAGGGTTTGTTAGAGGTGAATAGATTGAGTGGGGAGGCGTCCTAGGGTTTGCTAAGGAGAGGGGAGTATGCTAATACAATAGGAGGGGCGTCTTTCTAGGTTTAGCAAATAGGAGGCACCCTCTTGTGTTCAGTTTTTCATAGAAACACCCCCTCTCTCAACCGGAATTCTCACTAGTTTCCCAAAATCTGCAGAAAATTCTATAAATTTCCTAGTTTTTACCCAGAATTTGCACAGGGACCCTCAGAGGTCACTCTGTAAAAGTGCTTTCATAAAAGTACTTTTACAAAGGTGCTTTTGTAAAAGTGCTTTCATAAAAGTATTTTTATAAAGGTGTTTTCGTAAAAGTGCTTTCATAACAGTGTTTTTATAAAAGTACTTTAATAAAATCACTTTTATGAAAACACTTTATAAATATTTTTATAAAAATACTTTTACAAACATACTTTTATAAAATTCAACTA